CTAAACTAAACTAAACTAAACTAACTAACTGTTGATAAATGAGAGACCTTAGCAGATATGTTTATCTGGAAATATTTCTATGAAGGGAGAGTTTTAAAAATATTCTTCCTGATTGTTTCTGATAGTTACTCTTCCTGATAGTTACTCCTAGGCTGGAGCATTATAAGAACCCTACCAATACAATAATCTAATACAGGTTTAGTTAGAAAATGTTTTATATTAAGAAATAAGGAATTATATACAGGATAAGTAACACAGTCTATATCACTCTTAAGAACAATTACATTATCCCTAATATCGGAGCCTTTGAAACACATGATCAAATAATTAAAAGTAAACAAAAAGAAGGACATGTGAATATAGAATGAATTGCTTAAGCCAAAAACAATGTGACAGAAGCTAAAACTTTATTGAGAAATATTTCTCACAAAATATATAAAATTATAGGTCCTGGCATTTTGTAGCATGTTACATTGTATAAAATGTATTTATCAAATCCTTACAAAATTCTAGGCAAATAGATTAGCCTATTTAAGTAATAGCTACTATAAGGAGACATGATGGGAGACTGAAATCTAGTCATTTAAAGCAGCTGGCTGGCCTCTCTTCTTTTACATGGCGGTTTAGGAAATAAAGGAGTCAAGGAAATAAATAATGACTTGGACTTAAAGTTGTGCACTTCACAACTTTATCCATTATCCAAGAGTACTCTCAGATGGAGGTGCTGATCTGACTTGGTGTACATCACTGAGACCTGAATGAGAGAAAAGAGGGAAGCTGTATGCACTGGTTAATGTGTGCTCTGAAAAACTCGGATTAGGAGTTAAGGAAGCAGCGTGATCTTCATCTTTAGGAATTTCGTCTTGCTTACTAGAAAATAGACATTCTATCCAATAGCCCTGCAGTTCTGAGTGCATGCAGCTGTCTTTTTGTTAGGGTTAAGGCTGGGAAGGTTGTGCAAGTTACTCTTATTTGTCATCCTTAAATCCATCCCATAAAAGGCCCACAATTATTGTTGTTGAAATTTGGCCATTTTACCACCTAATTTCTGCAATATGAGCAATATGAACAATTAAAAATTGTTCCTTACCATCTCATTCCAAGGAAGCAATCAGTATCTTTGAATGTTGCCTAATTTCAATAATAGACTAGCTGAGGGAGAATAAGCTGACATTGACTTATTAAATATTAAGCAAGATAGAGGTTAAATTAATAAGCAAGAAATATGACTCATAACGTTTAGCGTGTTTGGGATTGGACTTCATTCCCCTAGACGGGCAGATCCATGGTTGAGAAAGGTTCTCAGCTATCACTGGATTTGTCAATAATGCTTTGGCCAATTGTGATCCTTCTTCCATTAATCAGATTATCTAATCTCAGTTACATCCCATTTTTATTACTGCAATTTGTTCTACATTAGGGAACTCTCTAAAAGTTGCAGCTGGTATAAAACGCAAAGATCAATGATGCCTAGACCAAAATGTTTTGCCCTATTTTTCAGAAAATGTTTTATTAAACATTTTTAAGAAGAGAAAAAAGGAAAAGGGGAAACAGGCACGCACCAACCAGTGACGTGCAGTCACTAGAGGCAGGGGAGGTGGGGCCTCACCAGTCTCCTGAGGAAAAGGAAACAATTTTTAAAATAATTAAAAAGGC